CCATTGCACACATAAGTACTTGAACACATGTCAGTCATCTCTCTCTCTCTCTCTCTCTCTCTGTCTGTCTATATACATGTAATATATATATAATATATATATATATATATATATATATATATATATATATATCAATGTTCATGCACGCGGCGCCCGCGCGTCACGCGGAAAAGAAAAGACCCCGAGTGCGTAATTTCGATTGTCTTTGCTGAGCGCTGCCCGCGCCATGCATCAACGCTCCTCGCCCCCCCCTCCTGTCCGCCCATCTTCCGCGGACGGCTTTCTGGGCCACTTCGTCGCCGACGGCATTATCGCGCCGGCCGCGTCAGGGCCAGTCGGCCCCGGCAGAAAAGGAACCCGGCGCTGGCGATGGATATGTAACCATCACGATCTGCGCGGGAACATTCACGATGCAGATCGGAACACGAGCCGCGCAGTTTCATCTTCGGTGCTTCCTGCTGGGTCCAGCCAGCCCTCCCCAGCCGCCGCCACCTGCGGGCGCTCGGTGCGCCTTGCTTGTCTTGGGGAGGTTTCATGCAGCAGTGCCCCTCGCCCCCCCGTCCTGTCCGCCCATCTTCCATGGGCGGTCAATGGGGCCACTTCGGGGGGCTGGGACATCGAGCGAAGCGAAGACGACGACCTCGCCTGGACCAAGGTGCTCGACTGGCTTGAAGCGCGCCTGGGAAGGCCGCGGGGACTTGGAGGTATAACGACGCTTTGGCCGGGTTGGCCGCGCCAGTCGTCGTCGCGAGCCCGCAGGCGCGACGGGTTTGGGCCGCGTCCCCTCCGCGATGACGGCTCTTATTGGATGGGCGTTTCCCAATTTCCAACTCGGATAAGATGTAGATCTCGATTGGTCACGCACCCGTCTTCCACATTACTCGACTGATGATTGTGGCATTGGAATTGGGAATAGTGGTGTTCTGAGAAGACCCGGAGTCAAGTAGAGCCCGGTTTGTTCCAGATTGCAGAGCGTTCCAGCAACGCTTCAGACATTGAAATGGCGCGTTCCAATTCCTGCCAGCAGGGGGAACCCCTGAAGATGCCGACAGCTCTCATGCTATTGAATATCCCCAGTCTGTATAAGTAGTTGTACGCGTGCCAGTCCTATACGTACCTATGTTCATGCACGCGGCGCCCGCACACCACGCGGGAAAGCGAAGATCCCGAACGCTTCTTGTGGATTGTCCGTGCCGAGCCTTGCTTGCACAGGTTATGTAAGATGTTTTCCGACTCGATCGTTCGACATTTTCAGCAACGTCTGTTATTTATTACTTAATTCACAGAGCATGGACATGGGTTTGAAACGTTTCATGCAGCAGCGTTCCTCGTCCAACCCTCCTGTCCGCCCATCTTCCATGGGCCGTTTGGGACACCTCGTCGCCGACTGCAATATCGTTGGGGCCGCTTCAACACCAGTCGGCACCGGCAGGCAAGAATTCTGGCGCGGGTGCGGGATGCACAATGATCATGATGATGACGACGACGATAACGACGTCAATGGTGACGATGACGATGGCGATGGCGCTGGTAATGGTGATGCGGATAATGATGATGGTGATGATGCTGATGCTGTTGTTGGTGATGCTGATGCTGATGCTGATGCTGATGCTGATGCAAGTGTTGATGCTGCTGCTACTGCAGATGATGATGATGATGTTCATGATGTAAATCGTTTGGGCTGTTTTGGGGCTGTCAGGGTCTCTTGTGAGATAGTCTTGGGGGGCATTTGAGGCCCTCTTGGGTCCGTGTTGGGGCCCTTTCGCGCCAGCTTGGCGCATTCTTGGACCGTTTCGGGGCCCTTTTGGCCGCCTGGTGGGTGTCTGGGGGCCGTCGTGGGGTTGTTGTGGCGCCGTCATGGGCTGCGAAGAGGTACTCTAAGGCCGTCTTCCAAGCTCGGGTCGCATACCATCGTTCTGAACGAGGAATCGTGGCTTGGGGGAGCCTGGCGCTTGGGAACAATGCGGAAGGTGCACGGTCCTCGAGCGGATGTGCGTGGAATGAGGGGTCTAGGTGTTAGCAACCATGCGGAAAGTGTAAAATCCTCGAGCGAGCACACATGGAGTGAGGGCGTCGGCGTAAGCTGTGATGCGGAAAGTGCACCATCCTCGAGCCTCGAGCGGGCAGGCGTGGTAAGGGGATTCCCGCATTAGCTGCCGCGCGGGAAGTGCACCATCCTCGGGCGGGCACGCGTGGAATGTGGAATTCGGCATTAAACAGCTGCCACACTGGAAGTGCATCATCCTCGAGCGGGCACGAAGGAAGTGACCTCGGAAAGGAGGGTCGATGAATGGAGATTCATCGAGAGATGGGGAGCTTCCTCATTTGACTTCAAACCAACCTTACCAGAAAGCCCTTGGCATTATTCCCACGCCTACATTTGCCAGAGAGCACGGTTGCGGTTCAGTAGTTGGCAGTTGGACGGCGTCGTTTTCTTGAGGCACAGGTCGCCATGAGCTCAATTCCATTCCATTGCATTAATCCTCTCATTTGTGCCTCAATCCGCTCGCGCCTCTGCGCCGCTTTACTTATGGACCGAACAGCACATCGGAGTCGAACGAGTCGCTGTGTTTCACTCTGCGCGTGCACGAGCGGCAAACTCCCCGGGAACGGTCGGAGATGCGCCGCCGGCGTCCTCCATCCGATTTTTTGTGTTGTTCAGCACAGGCTCCCCAGGAGTCCCGATCCTTTCCCCGAGGTCCTGCTTTCCGTCCCGAGTCGTTCGTTGAAGGTCCCAGGTCAGGGAGAGGGCCCGCGGAGGCCGAAACCGACGAATAGAACTCCGCACTGTTTTCCTCAACGCTTTGCAGGTATGGGGCGGAATAGAAGCTTTGATGGCCAGCGCGTGTGAGGACTCCAGGGAGGATTTCCCTTTGCAGTGCTTACATTGAGACGTTCTTACTTGTCCTGCACGTGAGTTGGATGGACGCGTCGAAGATTCGACACGTCCCGGCCGGTAGCCGCCCGTTGCCGCCTGTTGCCGCCTGTGTGGGTGTGTCGAGGATTCGCCTCGTTCCCGCCCGTTGCCACCCGTTGCCGCTCGGGTGGGTGCCTCGTGGATTCCCTACGGCCTGGCCCACTGCCGCCAATTGCCGCTTGGGTGGCAGTTCCGAGGAGTCGCCACGCTTGCTGGCCGGCTGCTGCCGGTTGCCGCTTGGGTGGGTGCGTCGGGGGTTCTCGTCGTGTTCCAGGCTGTTGCCGCCCGTGGCCGCCCGTCGCCGCCACGTGGCGTACACTTTAAAAAACTCCAAGCCTTCCGCTTCAAAGTTTCCCTAAGAGAACTTACGTTTAGGGGCTCTTCCCTCCCCAACCGCGCTTGCATTTAGAGGTGTTCACGTGTCTTCCATTTATGTATGTAAAAACACTCCATAGTGTTTGCGCTCGGGGCTTCTTACTCATGCCACGACGGAACGGAAGTGTATTGGTCTGGCAAGGATTGCCCCCATTGCCGCCCATAGCTTCCTCGTGGCCGCCTTTGCGCCGGGTGGGTCCTGCGAAGTTTCGCCAGATTCTCCACGTTGCCTCTCGTAGTCGCCAAGTGGCCGCCTCGTGCGCTGGGTGGGTCCGGCGAGGTTTCGCCACGTTGCCGCCGGTGGCCACCTTCTGTCCGCCTCGTGCGCTGGATGGCCACTTTGCCGCCCATTGCCCCCTCGTGGCCGCTCAGGGAGTCCGCCGTGGGTTCGCCGCGTTGCCGCCCGTGGCTGCCTCGGTGCCGCGTCGCCACATAGCTTCGAGCACATAGCTTGCACCACGTATAATGCATATCCTATAGCTGAAACCACATCTATTCTCTGTTCCAAAAGAATAGACTCTACCCCCCCCCCCCCAGAATTAACGGGCCACTTTTTCGTATTGTTAGTTACATATGATTCTGCCCCATCGTCCATCCTACCTGCGAATTCATTGTATCCCAGCCAAACCGGTATCGCCCCCCGCGCCATCTTTTGCAAAACATACTACGCGCACATTCGTTGATCAAAAATCATAACTGTTCACGAATCGCTTGCAAAAAATATGACGAAGTGCGCACGCGCGCGCATCGTCGCTCGCGCATGCCGAAATCCTTCAAAAACCTTCGGTTTCGGCAGGATTTCCAAATCGAGTGTCCAAAAAAACATACCAAAACACAGGATTTCGCAACACAGCTTTTCAACAAAAGCGTGCGCGCGCGTTCTTGCGTCGTCGTCGTCGTCGCCGTCCTCCCTCTTCCCTCGTCGTCGTCGTCGTCGTCGCCGCCGTTGTCGTCCTCTGTCTTTCCTCGTCGTCGTCGTCGTTTTTGCGTCGTGGTCGTTTCCGTCGTCGTTGTCGCCGTGGTCGTCCTTCCTCCCTCGTCGTCTGCGTCGGCGTTTCGTCGTTGTCCCTCCTATTTCGTCACCGTCGTCGTCGTCGTCGGCGTTGTTTTCCCCCTCCTCCCTCGTAGTTGTCGTCGTCGGCGTTGCCTTCCTCCCTCCTTCGTCGTTCGCGTCGTCGCCGTCCTCCCTCCTGCCTCGTCTTTGTCGTCGTTGCCGTCGTCGTCGTCGTCGTCGTCGGCGTCGTCGTCGTAGTCGTCGTCGGCGTCGTCGTCGTGATCGTTGTCATCGTCGTCGTCGTCGGCGTCGGCGTCGTCGTCGTCGGTGTCGTCGTCGTCGTTGTCGGCGTCGTCGAAGTCGTTAGAGACGTCGTCGGTGTCGTCGTAGTCGTTGTCGGGGCGGCGTCGTCGTCGCTGTCGCTGCCGTCGTCGGCGCCGGTGCCGTTGCCAAGAGCCATTTGGTACCCACCGTCGCGGTCTTAAGAGGTTGTGCAAACCAAGTTGCGGGTGGGTGGGTGTGATGTTTGCCCGAGCAGTGGAGTGGACAATTCACTGCGAACAGAAATTCATTGCACCACATAGGTTGCACAACATAGCGTATACCAGATAGCTTGCACATGCACAATGCAATGTCTTATTGTGTGGGGTCTACGCTGGCTAACATATGCTTAGCCTGGGCGGGCTAATACACAGAAAATGGCATACTTCAGAGGAGAGTGCGTCTGCGTCGACCCTCTGCACGGCCGCCTGCTGGTTTTCCTTGCGGACGGCCAGAACCTGCACGAGGTTCGGCCACTGGAAGGCGTTGGCGGCTTCGGCAGGGCCGGGGAGGCGGGAGAAGGAGAAGGAGGAAAACAAGGATGAGCCGCAATGACGAGGTCCCGCAGGTTCTGCGCGGCGGCGAGTGCGTCTCCCGCGTCGCCCTCATGTGGGCACCCGCGCCTTCGTGCAGCGCACACGAGACAGCATTCCAACGCATGCGTAGGGGCCACGATGAAAAGTACAGCGTGTCGGCCGTTCAAAACAACCCTATGGCATCCATGTGCGTGCAAAAGGAACAAGTACATGCCATGTAGCTACTGAGGTAGACGGAGCGCACCTGTCGCACGACTGTGCAATCTCATTGTGCATGTTTGGGAGACGTTGAATACAGAATGCGCAGCACGCGCAGCGGGACAGTGCAACACATCTTGAGTTCCGGGCGAATTGGAACAGAGATCCGAGGGGGCTTATATTTAACGAACATACGTGCGGTGCAAGGCTTGGCATGTATCAGGCACAACATGTTTGGAATCGGGGTGCAGCATGGAGGTCCAGGGAACATAGAATTACGAAGGCCTTACGGCGGGTGCCGCCGACCCTGAAGGAGGATGGCGATGACAACGACGACGACGACAGCGATGACCGAAGGGAGGGGTGCTCCCAGTGAGGGGTGTCCCCTCCAGGAGGGGTGGCAAGCCTCCAGCGGGGGACGGATCAAAAGGGAAAGGGCTTCCCTTCGACTCGATTGAAACAGTGTTCGATTTCCTTCCGGCATGACACATGGATGCCCAGGGGAAACAATATTTACCACCGCCTCCGCTCACACACATCACGGTTTGTTTATGCAGACGCGTGGGAATATGAGGATTGGCATTCCATGCGCGTGCAAACAAAAATTGCAGAAGTGCTTGTCGTTGCTGGGGCGCCAACGGCTAATGGGGCACATACGGATTGAAGCTCACATTTCCCAGGGCACCCACAAACAGACGGACAACAGATGGCAACCACTATTCATTGCATGTTGACCCACACACAGAGACCAGCAACACTGCACAAGCTCTTGCAAGCGGCCACGGTGCAGCCGTGGATGCGGCATCCATTATAGCCGTACCATACCGAGACAGTTAGGCGAAGTGATACTGATGTATTTTGAATGAGGACACTGAAACGATCTACGGTGATGGTCTCCGTTTTTTCGATCTTATTGCTGGCCACCACACGGCTGACTATTAAGAGCAAGTTTTGGTGTACGGGTATGTGTATGCATATGCCCACCTGTTTTGATAACCAACGCACATAAGTCAAAACGCGCTTACATGCGGGTCTCAAAGGACACCAGGACAGAATAGCAAATGGGCTGGGCATCGGGTAGATGTGGGATTGGCCCACCCAAAGTGAGGATCGATCGCACTGCCGCAATTCATCACACGCAGTATTGCTCTCAAGACGAGGCGCCGCCCGCACCAACGGTGCAGTTTTTGTAGGTTTGGGCGGCATTGTCGTTATCGGGGGACACAACAAAGAGTTTGGACTCATACGTTTCCGGCACGAGGGCGAAGTGGCGCAATGTCTTCCCATTCATATTATCCAGGGCGAGAGATACAACACGTTATCAGGCTGGCGTGGTTTCAGGTGAGTAGGTCCTTGCATCGTGATGTGTAAAATGTTCGGTGCATGCTACGTGGTGCAATCCACTTCGACTGTCTTGAAGCTGTCCTCCCCACTGCTCGTGCAAACATCCCACCCTCCCACCCGCAACTTGGTCGCAAGACATCTTCAGACAAGACCGTCACGGTAGGTACTGCGTGGCCTTTGGCCACGACACCGATGCCGACGACGACAGCGACATCGACGACGACGGCGCCGCCGACAGCGACTGCGACGACACAGACGACGTCTCCAATGTTTTCGACGACGACAACGACGACGACGACACCGACGACGACGACAACGACGCCGACGACGACGACGAAGACGACGACGACGTCGCCAACGGAGACGACGACGAGGGAGGAGAAAAAACGACGACGGCGACAACGACGACAACGACGATGGAGGAGGGAAGACGGCGACGACGCCAACGACGAAGAAGGAGGAAGGACGGCGACGCCGACGACGACAACGACGAGGGAGGAGGGAAGACGACGACGATGACAACGACGACGAAGACGACGACGACGGCGACGAAATAGGAGGGACGACGACGAGACGCCGACGACGGACGACGACGACGAGGGAGGAGGATAACGACGAGGGAGGAGTGAAGACCACGACGACGACGACAACGACGACGACGACGACGAAATAGGAGGGACAACGACGAGACGCCGACGAAGACAACGAGGGAGGAAGGACGACCACGGCGACAACGACGACGGAAACGACGATGACGCCAAAGACGACGAGGAAAGACAGGAGACGACGACGGCGACGACGACGACGACGACGAGGGAGCAGGGAGGACGACGACGACGACGACGAGGCAAGGGCGCGCGCGCACAATTTTGTTGAAAACCCGTGTTGCGAAACCTTGTGTTTTTGTAAGTTTTTTGGACGCACGATTTCGAAATTCTTCCGAAACCGAAGGTTTTTGAAGGATTTCGGCATATGCCCGCGACGACGCGCGCGTCTGCACTTCGTCTTTTTTTTTGCAGAGGGTTCTCGCGACGGCACACGCGCAAGAGCGTTCGACAGATTTCGACATGCGCGCGCGTGAAGCCCGTTTGGTAGCATTTTGTGAAAATCTTGGAAAACCTATGGTTTTCTTAAGATTTCGCAAGAGCTCGCGCGTAAGTTTTTCTTTGAATCAGTGTTGCGAAACCATGTTTTTTTTTTTTTTTATATTTTTTGGGGAAACTCAATTTTGAAATCTCTCCGGAACCGAAGGTTTTTGAAGGATTTCGGCATGCGCGCGCCACGACGCGCGCGTGTGCACTTCGTCTCGTTTTTCGCCAGGGATTCGTGAAAAAAAGTGCTATGTTGGAACAAAAAATGTCACCGCATAGTGTTTTTTTACAAGGGACCCGCAGGGGGGGGCAACCCGGCTTGGCTGGGATGGTATGAATTCATATTTAGGATGGACATGTGGTCAGAATCATATGTAATTTACAGCACGCGCGGGGTAACCGATAAGTCTGGGGGGGGGGGGGGTAGAATCTATTAGTCTTTTTTAGAAAGGAGAATTAAGGTCATCCCCCGCGCGTGCGCGGTCATCCCCCGCGCGCGCGCGCGCCCGCTGTTCGATTTGCGAAGACCACTCAGCCGTGATTGCGGCCCTGGAGTGGCACTTCTACAGCGCGTCTCCTCGGCCGCGGCGGCGCGCGGGGCATCGCGCGCAGAGCGATCAGTCGGTTCGGCGCAAGGGATGCGGCCGCGATGGCGCCTGCCAGTGGGCAGTGCCAAGCGCGTCTGCAGCGCCGCGCTTCCGCGCGGGCGCTGCCTCGCGGGCCGTTGGCTCGGGCGGGCGCAACGCTGCGATGGCGCCGACGTCGACGCGGCGGCGGCGATGCCGGCGACGGGGGCGGCAGCGCATATTGCGGCGCCGATGCCAGTGGCTAGCGGCGACGGCCACGATGATGCTTTTCGTTGGTGGCGACGGCGGTGGCGCTCATGAGCGCGGCGTTGACGGCCGCGGGCGATGGCGGCGCGGCAGTCGAAGGCCGGCCGCGCGGCCCCCTGGGCTCGCAGAGCTCGCCCGCCGCGGCAAGTTGCCCGCGCGCCCACCGCCCGCGAGTTGCCGCGCTGGCCGCGCGACCGCGTCCGCTGCAGCGCTTGCCGCCGCGCGCCAGGTCGCGGGGCGCGTCGGCGTCTCGGGCCGGGCGGGCGACCTTGCGAATGTTGCGCGGGCGACATGCAGTGTGCGAGATGCTTTGTCGGCGGCGCAGCGCAGAGAGCGCTCGGCCGCGGCGGGCGCCGAGGTCCAGATCGGCGCGGACGGCGGCCCTGCATCGGCAGTTAGGGCGGGCGGACGTAAGCGCCGTGCGCCGCGCGACCGCCTCGCCGCGGACTGCGGTTGCAGCGCGCGCGCGCGCGCGCGCCTTCGCTCCGAGCCCCGCCGCGCCGCGGCGCCCGATGCTGCCCCCCCCCCGCCGGCGCGCGGGGCGGCGGGCGCGCGGCGGCCGTGCAGAGGGGAGAAGGGCTGGGGCGAGGATGGTCGCGTCGCAGCCTCGATTCAGGACGCGCGGCAGGCCCTGCCGGGCCACGCTCCGCCGCGACCGCGCGAGGCCCAGAAGTTCGCCGGGCGCTGGGGGGCGATCGGCTTGGCCAGCCCGACCGAGCCGGACCGTTTGCGCCCGTAGGTCTGGCGGCCAGATGGCGCGCGGGGCGCCGTCGAGGACTGCCCCGGGGGCCCCGTGGCGCTGGAGCAGATGTAGAGGCCGGCGTTGAATGCCGGCTTCTACATTGAGTGGCCGACCCAGAATTTTTGGGTCGGCCACTCCAGCGCGGGCCCCGCCCACCTGGGCTCGCGCGTCGACCCGGCCATCGACGACGCGCCGGCTGCCCGCGCGCCGCGCCGCGACGTCCGCGCGTCAGTTCAGCGCGCGTCTCAGGCAATGCCTCGCCGCGGCGGCCCCGGGCGGGCCCCGCCCGCGCGGCGCGTTTCTTCCCGCGCGCAGATCGGCTACATTCCCGCGAGGCGGGCGGGTGGCACCTGCGCGCCTTGGCCGCCGCTCTGCTGGCCCATCCCATTTCGCAATCGCTGCCCGGGCAGCGCCGCGCCGCGCGACGGCGGGGCCGAGGCGGCGCGCGCAGGGCCAGCGCCGCCGGCTGACCGCGCGGCCCCCGGAGGACCCATCGACGCGCCGAATCGAAACGGTCGCGCCGCGACGGGGGGCGCGCGGGGGGCGGAGGCGCCCCCCCGCCGCTCCGCCCGCCTGCGCGCGCCCCCCCTCGTAGGACCAACTTCCTTTTGCACGATTGCGCCCGGGTGTTTTTCTTGAGCTTCGCAGCGGGATTGAATGGTAACACCTCACTTGGAAGATATGTTTGGACAGCCCCAAAACAAATTGAATGCATAAATCCTCGCATCCAATCGATCTG